TTATTCGATCAGTTTGGTGAGATCAACAAGTATTACTGGAATTTGCACCAGCGCCTTCATTTTCCGTTATATATCTGATATTGTAAGTAGCAGATAACTCCAAATACGTGAACACATCATCTTTTAAGGCATTGGCTTCGACTTTGTCACTGTTTGCTCACTTTTCCACAATAAGTGGTGAATTTTTTCTCAGTCGTTTGATCCTCGGTTCAAAGGTCAGCTGCTATCGATAAAAATGACAAAAACTAAGAAAGTACATGTGTTAGTCGAAAAAGACGCGCTTATCCTAAATTCAAATTTTGTGAACGAACCCGTTGCGCTGATTATGGACAATGTCACCAGACATTTTGATAGGGCCACAAGTCTTCACGGGGTCAATACGGTAAGACGAAGTTGTTTTCATCTGATCATGGCTGTTAGTGGTGCTTCGAGCGACGGCCATCACCACTTGTATGACATTTTCAATCCGCTTAGCATTCTATGGGTGTACAGTAATAAAGCACTTGGATGCTCTAAAGAGCCAAACAGTCCGGAAAAACAATACTCAATTATTTTTATTTCATACACGTCCTGATATCACATTTTAATGTGCGGATCGCAGTGCTTCTAGCATTTGATTCGCTTTGTACTCTTGAACGATACAGAATGCTGGCCGAGCATGTCTACTCGCAGTCCAGAGGACAGCCTGGCTTTGACATCCCATAGGGCGCCTGTTGTTGACTGCGGAAAGTGTTGGGGTGGAGTTTAGCTCCATGAGATCCACGACGAGAATCGCAACCACTCGAGCACGGTGTCCTTGTATATACATATATATATATATATATATATATACATTTACATATACATATATATGTACATATATATGTATATATACATATACATATATATACATATATATATATATATATATATATATATATATAGCCTATTTTACAATATCTGCAAAATTGTGACAATTTTACCTAGTCCGATGATGAATTCATTACCTTTGATAGTTCAATAAATCACAATCAGTCTTGAATGAGTTCATTTTCTTTCGGTAATAAGTTATCGGTAAGTGATGGAGTGGACAGTGTAAGAGAACCGGTTTGCTTGAAATTTTCGATCAAAGGATGCTACCACTGCTCTGCATGTGATTACCAGAAGGTAAAGGTGACAAAATGTTGGACACACTTTGTCAAATACACCGATATCAGTGGTGATTGACTATTAGTCAAGTAACATTGAAATAGTGCGAATTTACTGACGCTTGCTCTTCACTCTTTTTATTAAAGGAAATATGCTCAGGATGGCAACGTTGCCACATTAGTTTTTCTTACCAGCAAAACTATGTAATATCCGGAGAGGAAGCATAAATAGTGGTGATAAATCATTACTGCAAACCAGAAACGAGTTTTCGGGGGCGCAATGCAACCGCCACTTGATATTCTATGTGATAAGATCGATACGATAAATCATGTACTTTTGCCAACCCAAACATATTTTGTGACTAAAAAACTCAGATTATGGGCTTTGCCAATGTAGCCAAATTTGGCGCTACCATTTATCAAATCGTTTCGCTTTGTGGTAGTTAGCCCCAAGATATGGCTTAGCGACAGTACTGGCTGTTTTACCAGAATCAAGAGGGATTTCTATTTACCTCATAAACCGATTTATGTATAATCCTTGTCATTTGTGCTTTGTTCACGTTTTCTTTTCGATCATGCAAGGTGATGTTTTGCAACTTCCACCAAAATGTCGACTGTTACAACGATATCTGTTGAAGACAGCCGTCCTCGATGTCATAATGAGACATCTCCCAGGACGTGCCAAGAACGATTCTACATCGATTGAAAAAAAAATCTTTCCAGTAACTCAAAAGGCGTGGAGTGCGACTTTTGTTGACGATTTTAGGATTTTTCACCACTTTGACAAAAAGTCTAGATGAAACATATGTTACTGACACTCGAAATTTGCTCTACACGGTCATATGCTTCCCGTTTTTGCACTTAGGCTGTTTAGGCTCAAGCTTTAGTAGAGGGTTCCTTACAATACAAATTGAAATGATTAACCCAAGCCATATAACGATAGAACAAAGTTTCTCCTACAATTCCATCATGAAAAATCTGGAAATCTCCACGAAACGAGGAAAATTCGTCTGTTAAAAAACGAAAATCTGGACGATAAGGGGCAACGCGTGTGAAACACAGCAATGATTTCTCCGCTTCAGAACTGTAAAGAAGCCTTTTGAAAACCAAATAGACTTCTGAATTCTCTGAGATTTCTGGTATGCAATAGTAGTGATATGTTAGAAGAAAGGCTTTCCATAGCGAATATAAGTGCCTAATAATAATATGCGACACGTGAAAAGCATAATATTATCTGGTCTTGTCATATATTTTGGCGCTAAAGCAATAAAGACCAAATTCATTGACCAGAAATAGTTAGAATTGCTTATAAACACTATTTGAAGTATGCGCCATCAGCCTGAACACATTTTTACCATCTTGTAGGCAACAAGGCAAGACGGCGTTCATATAAACCCGTCATCCTTGAATTCAAAAAAGTCAATCCTCGACGCAAATGATTGATGTCGCGAAACTTCTTCCTGCTCAGAAAATTTTCAGCGACCGGAGGAAGTGACAGTGAGACAGCTAGAAGTCAAGACTTACGGTGGATGATCCAGCAGATCCCAGCCCAGTTGGGTCAACCTCCTCGTCAATTTGGCGACATGCAGCCTTGCGTCGTTTTGCGTGGACGTCCTAGGCGCACCTGGTCCTTCTAGTTAGTAATGCCGGCGCGAAAGTCAGAAAAGAGCTGAAACGTTGTTTGCCTAAAAAATCCTTGAGCCTTGCACGGTTGATGTTCTCGAAGGTGCTCCGTGCATCGCATCCCAATTCGCACATGTAAAGCAGCAAATCGCCGTGAAGGCTTCGCTGAGTGGTCATAATGCGGCAAGTATGGGCAAATTTGGTATCAAAAGAAAGCTCAAAAAAATTCTGCACAAAGATATTGAGCTGTTGCCTGAGGAATGGCAAAATATATTCAAGCTGAATGCGTCCATTTTGAATAGTATTGTTAACCAATTTTGATTACTTCTGGTTGATAAATTTGGTGTTTATTGCTCTAATGCCAAAACTTATAAGAAGACTAATATTTTGAATGCTACTTGGCTTTAAATAGATAATTCTAAAGAGCATGTATATTTTCTCACTCTGCAAAATTTGCGCTAATTATTCCTGAGCAGTAGTTTAGAGAAGAGTTTTGTATAGCGGATTGAAAGCGTGATAATCATGACAACGCGTGGCGCATGTGAAGCATAATTTTATTTTGAATCCTACCACGCCATGAAAAGGGTTTCTTTTGGATAGTTCTTGTTCAGTAGATAGTTCTTCTTCATTCTGGGTCCGAGAAGGAAAAATAACTCTCATTTCTTCGAGTTGATGCTGTGTAAGTAGTTGTAGTTAGTACAAATAGCGGTACAGATCAGGAATGGCCTGATACAGTGTACGTCCAGATTCCGTAGAAAGAAGGTCGCTGAAACGTCAGCCAATGGCCTGTACTCTTGTTTGTGCCGATACTACAATTACAGCTGCAACCTAGGTAAGTTAGAAGAGATCGATTTTTGATGTTTACCTTTCTGATAGTTTCTCAATAAAGATCACGCTAAAACGTATTGTTGCAAATCGCTGGCGGATCCACTAGCCACTTTACGAGGTCACCGGCCATATAACACAGCAAACTTTATTATTTACCAGATAGTACAAAACGTCCAGTACCTCAGAAAATGACGCTATCTGTTACGTGTTTTCAAATTCGTATAGTATTCGAATTTTTGGTTATCTAAAGGTATTTTCACTGTATTCTTTTGATGCTGATTAGGATATAAATAGACTCAGGACATTACTTGAGACTTGAATACAATTGCTCAGTGCTACTACTGGCATAAAGCAATCTAAAAATATGACGGACGGTGACATAAAAAAGTACTAGTTGAAATGACGGAATATAACACAAAGAACCTGCGAAGGTTAGTTATCTAGAAATTTTTAGTGATAAAACATGGTGTTCGAAATACAAGTGTCGGCGGAACTTTTGCGAAATTGTGAATGAAAAGTTGTTAGTCCCAAAAAAGACTCATTTTTGGAGCACTGAGGCACCTCATCGGATGTGAATCTGGTGTTCCGGGAATGTAAACTTCAAATGTTTACAATTTGCGTACAAAAACTCGAATTATGTTAGTGTCGCCGAAATGTCGGCCACAATAGAACATCTTAATGAACCTCGTTTAATGAGTCAAGGCGCTTCAATTTGTCTCTTCTATTCGCTGGAAGAATTTGCTGCCTCTCTGCAACTAGAGAATGGCCCACTTTGTAGAGCTGCAGCTTACACAACTTACATTATTTCTCTGATGAAATCTCTCGAGACGCGATAAACTTCCATGTTTACATCTCGAATCTCAATGAAGAGTCAAGTTGTGCTGAGGTGTAGGCGTACAAAATGCTTTTGCAAGGAATGACAGATTGTTCATTTTCGAAATGTGAAACGATGGGGCTTTCTAGAGCGAGTAATATCAAAACGGTCGAGTAAGATTTTCTGCTTGAAAATCACAGATTTTAGGCTAGATGCACATGTAGCTTCGAACTCTGAAAAAATAGCGTACCAGGTGACATGTGATGTTCTACACCAACAGTAGTACCGATTGTGTGTTATGCCTATTTCAGATTATGATAATTTCTATTGACTAACTAAGCAATTAGCGGTTTAACATCGTCCACTGTTGTACATCTTGGTAATATCCTCTGTTGTGGCTAGTACTGAAGAACAACATTAACAGCAACTGAGCCGGTAGCAAACTGACATACATCTGTAACCGATATGCTTGACGACCATCTACTCAGTTCTACTCAACTATTAGGCTATAGAATGATAAACTGGAATTCTTTTTATTTGGCTGCTTTTTTAGCGGTGGTATGATGTCACAGATATACCCAGTGATGTAGAGTGACATATAAAACTTTTGCGTCAGCAGGGACTCGAACCCCCATCTCACTCTATCTGGGAGTGCGTGCTCTAACCCGCTGCACCACTGATGCCCGCTTTGCCACTACCCTTTCTACGCTACAGCTCATCTACCTGTCAGCAACCAACCGTCAACGGTCTGGCCGAGGTAATCGGTATAAACATTGAAACCAGTCACGCTGACAAATATTGCGCATTGGGTGATCAGCTAGAATTCTTTTTATTTGACCGCTTTTTTTGAGTTTTAGAAATTTTTTTAGTGGTGGTATCGCTGACGGTTGGTTTCTTACAGACAGATGTGTTTTAGCGTAGGAAAAGTGGTGGCAAAACGGGCGTAAGTAATGTAACGTGATAGAGCACGCGCTCTCAGATAGAGTGTGGTACGGGTTCGAGTCCTGCTTGACGCAAAAGTTTTACACACCACTTTAAATTGCTAGAAATATTAGGTTGTGGTAATGAAAATGTACCTAATGATCTTTCAAAAGTGATATTATTCTAAAGTTTTTCGACATTTGACAAAAAGATGCGTAAGGGCGAGCCGACTTCCTAGAAAAAAAAGGAAATGCTACTTTTTCCACAAATTTCTCAACATCATTTTCTTTTTCCGTTCACTGATTTCACCTAGCACCCAAGTTGGACCTGATTCGATGAAACAATATGAAAGCATTCCAGCACAAAGTAACGACGAAAAAGAAGAGCAATTCGTTCGTGATTAAGAGATCCGGAATTCTTTCACTGATGGATGTCATCATATTGTCGTTTACAAAAAAAAATTCTATGAAGCTGCATGAGCGAAAAAACTTACGCTTCACACTCACAGTAGTTAGCCCGTCGCTCGAACTTCGCATAGCGTGTAAGTTATGTACAGGTGTTAGAGGTAATTTATAGCTACAAAAAGGTACAATATCACAGACAACAAATTTTTATGGACACTTTTAGTAAAATAATGACCACGTATCAAAAATTACTTGTGTGATCTTGATAAATCACATCACTGCACGGTGGAATTCATTTCTATTTTCTATTAAACATTCTTTTTCTCGACTCATTTATGTCTTTGTAGCCATCCCATAGTTAAAAAATGCTGATTTTTCTGCTGAACATATTTGTGTAAAGACATCCGTGATATGCTTTACTGATAAAAAAATAACATTCTGTTTACAGTGTAATCATCTCGTTGTTTGAGCTTCACAGCGGGCTTTCTTGGCACTCGGTAAATTTTGATTCAACTTATCGCTATGAAAAGATAAAGTATCATTAAAGGGACTGCAACATGCGCATTTTTAGCAAAAAGTGTTATTCTATAATGCCTTAAAAATAACACGGAAACTATGCCCTTAAGATAACAACGCGTTCTCAACTCTTTCTTCACATTTCTTTCGATAATGCTATAAAACGGTAATTCGACTTACGTTTTTCAAATGTATGACTCTTGAAGTAAATTTATGCAGGAGATTCTTTGATATCTAGCATGAGCAAGTTTTGTTCGAGTTCGTATTCATCATTTTACAAAATAGTTCGTTGTTTAAATCGCAGCGGGTTCGGTTCGCGATATAATGTAGAATTAGATGGCCAGAACACTTCATCATCGTAAAGTAGTAGATAATGCCGATGAGATTTCTATAGGTATTTTAGTAAGAAGAACGGCTATACGTCTTTGTATCCTTTGATAATCAACATGTCATTCTTGATCAAATTCACTTGTCTCAATCTTCGTGGTGGTGAAGAAGTCCTTATCAGTGCCTTCGTCTAGTATGCATAATGGGAATAGTTGTCTTCGGTCTCAACTGTTTGATAAGTGTGATCTGGCTTTTACGACTATTATCCACATAGTTGAATTTCTCTACAAATTGGCTAATTAACAGAAACTGTAACTTGTCCTATTTGTTTGGTGGAACAGAAAACACGCCATTGCGAATAACGTGCAACACACGTATTGTTGGTGTCTCGACTACACTTTGTACTAACTACCCCACCAATACCAACGACACTTTAGTACAAAAGTGGGATAATAACACAACGCTGACATGAAGCATAGATAAATTAATGCGCGTGAATATAAAAGTATGTTTACTTATTTATATTACCCGGCTTTACATACTGCACGTACTCCAGTATTCCTCTCATTCTACTCGTTTTTTTTACTCATATTTTGACGCATTGGAGACCGCATACCTACGACGCTAGCCCTGCCCCATCACGCGCGCGGCGGCTTGGTGGCTAGCTGCTCGCAGTGTCTAGTGCGGCGTCATATGGTGCGAAATGGTGTGTCAGTGATTCATGCATATTACACTGGAAATAAAAGGATAGCACCATAAGAACTACAGTGAAGCGTCTTGTTAAGGAACTGAACCAGTAACATTCCTTTTGCACATAGTTGAATTTCTCTACAAATTGATGGACTGCAGCACGAGGTCATCGCCGAAGCTGGCTGCTGAGGATCGAGCCGCCGCGTGCGTGAACTGGTCGAAATTTTCTTGCATTCGTGTATGCTGACATGATACTAACACTGCTAACTTCTCGAACTCCACCATAGATAATCATTGTGTTCTGCTATCAAAGATAACTCTTTCCTGACAAGTCTCTGCCCAAATGCCGATTCGAAGTGATGAAGGCTTGGTTAAGATCAAACACTGAAAGTGCGTTCATTGTGCGCTGTTTATACCCTTGCTCTTTCGCGCTTACAAAATCGGCGTTAGCCATAAATGAATTTGCCCACGTGAATGGTTGAGCTAAAAACGGCTGTGACTTTAACAAGCTGAATGAGAGATCGGTTCTCACTTTTGAAGATGCTAATGCCATAGACATAAAAGATTCTTGATCATCTGAGTAACCTTCCACAAGGGTTTTTTATTTTTGGGCACAAATACTGTTTGCATTTCTGTTTCTTCCAGTGTACGAACCGCATTTCTGTTCATTCATACTCTCAGGATCGACACTTTTGAGGATGTTAGGTTGTTCTTGTTCAAGATTAGATTTGATTGTATCAATTTTTGCAACATCAAAGAACTGGCAGAAGCGCTCGTCTTCTTTAATCGCTTCATAGACTTCTTTTACATTTTCATGAGCATATACTCTTCGATACGACACCGCTACACTCTGGCAGCACCTCTTGGCAATAGCTGAGGTGTTCCCGTTCAATTGGCTGCTGTGATTCAATATTTATAAACTTCAATACTGTGATGATCTCTGAATTACCTTAGATAACTAGAATGACAATGAGTGAAGTTTCTTATAAAACTATACTGGGTGAGAGGCCCTTCAGTCTTCTCCACTGTCGTCCTGAGCATTCATAACGATATAATTTGTGTTTACGACTGTTGCTGGCAATCATATTTGTTACCCGTGTTAACACTGGGCCGATGACTTCCTTGCCAAATTGATCATAACTGGCTTCGATTTGTTTCCCCCAATAATCGTAAAGGCAGCAGTGCCTAACAACATGATGTCATAATCATTCGCACCGGCATCACTAACGTTCCTTGTCATGTTCCATTCATAGCACGTACTATGAGGTAGCCACAAGCTGTTTGATCTAAGAGGCCGGTGTGGCGGGGTTTCAATAAATCTTACGAGACTGTTCTGTAAGAAAGACTCCAGACAACGAAAACTAGCATACATTTTTCCTGTCCATCTCCTATTTCTTCAAAACTCACAGTTAACTTCAAAGACGACTGAACTTCGCATTGTAAGAATAGAGAGTTTTGCGACACTAGGCATGAAAACTACTTAAGAAACTAAAAAATGAATTCCAAGGCTTTAATCATTCTACCTACGTACATTACAGAGTACGCGCGGACGCGAATGAGTCAAGAAATTTACACCTATGTCCGTAACCTTTCTCAAGATTCGTAAGAACTGAGACCCCGATTTGAGAGATATCTGAAAGGAAGTGTAGTTTGTACCTCTTCAGATTTGAAATTTCGCAGTTTGATATGGAAATTCTAGATCATATTACATAGTAAGTTCCATAAGGCGTTTCTGTTTTCGATTTGAACATAAAGATACATCCGGTGTTTCTTTGCTTCGAATCTTTTGTTTCCCACTTCACCAAGTCTTTTCCAGTTCATCGCTATTCTTTATCCCTCAGATCAAATTATTCTTCGTAAAAACAAAAATTCTTAGATCTCAATGGAGCGCTATAACACAGATAAATTTGAAGCGTCCGACGAAGATCTGCAGGACAAATGCGACTTCGAAGACGACGGAAAGTTATTATGCGGATATGGCAGGTCAGTTGAACTTTATCGTAGAGCATCTCTTAACATCTATTTATTCTAATAAACTTGACGATAAAGTGTATTTGTTGAATATGTGAAGTTGAACTATCAACTGGTAGCCTCTTAGCATTTTGAAACTGCTCACTCTAGTTTAAAACATCTTGAAAACAGGAATTTTTCGAAGAAGCTTCAATCTGTATGGGCACTGGAAATTTTGGTTTGAAATAACATGCTGAACTGTAAAATATGATTGGGCCCTGAATACTGGGTTGAAGAGAAGGCAACAAATATCCACGAATTAACTCAAAATGAAAGAGTGCGGTCATAGTGGATGTTGTACCCTTTGCAAAATCGGGTATCCATAAAGAAAAACAAGTTCTGCTATCGACTGCTTTTTTACAGACCCGCTCAAAATGATTTAATCTGATAAGGATATACATATTTTGAGCCATAGGTCTAGTGCTATATAGGCGCCTATTTCGTCCTATTGGGACTCATCAGTAGCACCCTCCCTCGGTTCCGTCGATCCCTTGAGGTGAAACAATCCTCCAAAGGAACCGACGCCGAGTAAAATTAAGCACCCAAAGTAGGATGATGTTATTACCTGACTTTGTGGTGACCGGCAGTCGAGCTTACGGCTTTTAAAATGAACTATACTTCTGCTATCGACTGCTTTTTTACAGACCCGCTCAAAATGATTGCCTAAAAATGCCTATATAGCACTAGACCTATGGCTCAAAATATGTATATCCTTATCAGATTAAATCATTTTGAGCGGGTCTGTAAAAAAGCAGTCGATAGCAGAAGTATAGTTCATTTTAAAAGCCGTAAGCTCGACTGCCGGTCACCACAAA